CAATCTATTTTGATTGGCATGCTGTTTGAAGACTTTCAGAAGAAAAACAAGCCCAGCGATGCTGAGGTCAAAGCTGAATATAACCGCGTTGTGGCGCAAATGGGTGCAGGCAGTGGCGGCAAAGAATATAAGTCGCGCCACATTCTGGTAGAAACAGAAGATCAGGCCAAAGCCTTAATCGTGCAAATCAATAAAGGTGCCAAATTTGCCGACGTGGCCAAGAAAAACTCTAAAGACCCTGGCTCAGGCGCAAATGGCGGCGATCTGGGTTGGGCCGATCCTGCGGGTTTTGTGCCTGAGTTTGGCAACTCGCTCAAATCCCTGAAAAAAGGCCAGATGACACAAACACCAGTTAAGTCGCAGTTCGGCTACCACATCATCTTGCTGGAAGACTCTCGCGACCTCAAGCGTCCACCACCACCTAAACTGGAAGAGGTCAAGGAGCAAGTTTCGCAAAAAATCCTGCAAGACAAGAGCGAAGCCTGGCGCAAAAACATACGCGACAAAGCGACTATTAAATAGAGCGCGCCCCTTTTAAGCCAGCTTCTCATAAAGCCGCCCCCGTGCGGCTTTATTCTCTTTTACAATGGCAAATATGATCAAACGCATCATCGGAAAAATACTCGGTACATCGGCATCAGACGCAAAAACAAAATTTGGCAAAGCGGTACTCATTCCTCAAGACAAGCACCGCATCAACCCCGATTTGGTAGATGCACGGGCTTTTGAAGTAGTCGCGACCCTCAAAGCCGCCGGTTTTGAAGCCTGGATCGTGGGTGGGGCCGTACGTGATTTGCTCCTGGGCTTGGCCCCAAAAGATTTTGACGTTGCCACCAATGCCACACCTGAGCAAATCAAACCGCTATTTCGCCGTGCCTTTATCATCGGGCGGCGCTTTCGCATTGTGCATGTGGTTTTTGGCCGCGGGCGTGAGCATGAGGTGATTGAAGTCTCTACCTTTCGTGCTTATTTAGATGCCAGCGCGGCCGAACAAGTCAGCGGCAACGAGAAAACCGCCAAAGCGGAGCTTGCGGGTATGCACCATGCGGTAGACCAACACGGGCGCGTACTGCGTGACAATGTTTGGGGCAGCCAACAAGAAGATGCGGCCAGAC